TATTTGATTTAACTCTAGAAAATGCAATTAGTTTGTTAGTGGTTAAAAAATAATCTAATTTGAAAACTGAAAATAGAGAAGATCTAAAACAAAAAGAATATTTACTCCAATAACAATTAGAAAGATTGAATTAAGAATATTTAGAGTGATCGACAAAATTCTGATATAGTTTATTGGAACTCCTTTTCTATCATCTTTGATTATCAATAATCTCAATTATGAATTTCTATTACAATATCAGACCTAAAAATGATTAAATTACCAGATTAACTACAATTACATAGAAATTATAATTGACATTTTAAGATATTTCTAAATTCTAAGAATAGGAACACAAATTAATATTATAGAGCAAACAAATCAAATTTTCAGCCAAAATTGAAAGTGATTTCAGATAGTATATTGATTGTTTTACTATAATTAGAAGTTGCACAAAACTTTTCAATACAACTTTATTTATTAATATTCTAAAAGCATCTTTGGGATTAGCTCTTTAGATTTAAAAATTTTTAGTTAATTTTATAGCTGCCAACCTAATTTTTAAGCATTTTAATCATTTTATATTTTTGTTGTTCTTGGAGCAGCTTTATCAATACCCTATGAACCATTCCATTCGCATTTTCGTATAATTTTATTCCTTTATTCATTAATAATCTTATATTACAAGCAGATTTAATTGTGATAGCTTCACAATCTAAGGTGTAAAGGAACATATCCAAATCGAGTGTTACTCAAAATACAACTAGAATTATATTTTGCAATTTCCATGTTGAATGGAAATTAAACGAATACACAGTCTCTTTTTTTATGACATTTTTTTTCAAATACAAATTAAATCTATATCACAATTATACTTTGCCAATGAATTTTAATGGGTTTTTCAAAAATTCTGTATTTGTAGAATTTGTACAAGTATTTAAGAAAGCTTAATATTGATCATTTATAGTGTTATGGTTGATTAATTTAAATAATTTTTAAGAAATAACTGATAATTCATTCATTAAATAATTACTAGAGTTGTGGGTACATTGAGACGTATTTTATCTTAACAGCTTTAACTTGTAGTATTTCCGAAATAAGTTTATACAGTAGAATTTATAATATAAGCAATATCTTAGGCTATAGCAGCACAGGTTGTATTTGTATCACAATAAAATACTTGTTTCAGTAATGCAATATTATTCAATGTTGAATTTTCTTGAAAGAAAATAATTGATTAATTTATGAAATAATTTATAAATCTTTTCTATTCATCTCTATAATATCTCATATAATGAATATTTTTATATTTATTATCCCAAAATACTAAGTATTATCTATTATTGGTTAGTGTTCCATAAAAATTTCTGTTTAATGATTTAATGATGTTAAATGTGCCATCTTTTAATTGTCTAATCAAATAGATATGGTGCTTATGTCATAATTAGAAATAATGAATTATCTTTGCATTCATTATTCTTAATTAAAGTGAAAATTTTATTTGAATTCTATTTAAAGACTCCATATATGATTCAAATACTAAACTTGATTTATTTACTAAACTTCCATTACACAAATAAGAACAATGAATTTCCTCTTCTTTTTCTATATTAATAATTATTTTATTAAAAAAGTAATTTGAATTTCAATATAATATTAGTAGTTTAAATTCGCGCACTTCCCACCCGAATCCATAATATTCTATAAATATATAATAAGTCTTAATAATATCATAATTTGAAATATAGACTGATGAAAGCTCAGTTTAGATATAGAATAAAAGTTCTTGAAGTTCAACTAATTTAGTAAGTATAACTTTGTAGGTTAGTTTTTATCAATCATATGGATTACAAAAACATAGCTAGAATCAAACCAGGCCAAATAACTAATCAGTGAAAACTTCAAAAAATACTTAATTTCTAATAGACTAGGTCATTCTTTGGCATAATTAATTCACATTTTCAAAA